TACAGTGCCTGGTGTTTAATAAATGCTTGTTGAGTGATTGGCTATTCTGTGCCTTATGCCTGGAATTCATTCCCCTCCCCACCTCTACTTTTTAGCATCTCCTTCTCTTTTTAACATGCAACTCCAGAGTCTTATTGCCCTAATAATACCTCTAAGCACAGGAAGAATCTTGAGATTGGTAAATCAACCAGATAATAAACAAGTCAGTGATTTATCCTTTAAATATCATGACATTTAACATATGCAGTCATAATAGTTAAACTTACAAAGAAACAACATGCCCATTTTCCTTTCTTGTTTGTCCTAGACTACAGCTACCAGAGGGTTGTAGCAGACATTTTTTTCCTCCCATAAGCTTGGAAATCATAGCATTGCTTACAGGAACTTACCCTGACCCTTCATTTCCTCATGGTGTGAATCTGTCATTGGTCTATGTTTGCAGTTGTGCCTCTCTCTTTTCCCATCCCTCTTCTGACAAATGTTTTATTTGCTTTAATTTTCCCCATTCTTTTCCTGACTTTGCTAATTTTGTAATGAAGTATTAGCATATTTAGAGTTGTGTGCACAGCAAATTGAACTCAGTAAAGAAATAACTATCTAAATCTAATAAACAATTTAATAGGAATCATGAGATTTAGAGCTAAGAAGAGACCTCAGAAATCATCCAACTGCCTCATTTTATAGATGAGTGCACTGAGGCCAGATTAGGGGAAAGCTCTGCCCAAGACTATGCAGATACATCGGGATATTGGGATGCCAACACCAATTGAGGGCATACCCCAGCTGCCTTGATATTGAGATCAGGGGTTCCTAATCTTTTTGTGTCATGGACCCTGTTGGTGGCCTGATGAGACCTATGGACTCCTCAGAATATTGTTATTAAATGAGTAAAATAAAATACATGGAATTGTAGAGGAAACTCAACATATTAAAATAAAAACCTTTTTTTCCCCATGCACGGTCAGAAACTGTCCCCTGAAATCTATCCTAGGATCTGTGGGCTGCAGGTTAAGAACTTTGCTCTAGATATTTACAGGGACATACTGAGAGAGCTGACCCACCCTCTCTTGTACCTAAATCTTCGCTAATCTCAAGCCCAGAATCCCATTGTCCACTTACACCATAAAATCCACAATACCTTCAAACATCCCTCATCCACACATGCCCCTTCAAAGCTACAACATATGTCTCTTGTGAAGTTGGAAAATGTCTTGTAATTTAAGAAAAATGGCAGTTTATAAGTAAGATTCAGGGACATCTGACGACATTTCTCAAGATTAAACTAAAGTCCTTTTGTCTCCATCACTCACAATAAGCTGTATCCTAAAAACAGTAACAGCTAGCATTTATATAGCATGGGGTGAGGAACCTGCAGCCTCGAGGCTATGTGTGGCCCTCTAGGTCCTCAAGTGCAGCCCTTTGACTGAATCCAAACTTCACAGTAGCAGTTTTAAGGTTTAAAAAGCACTTTACAAATACTACCTCATTTTATCCTCACAACCTTTACGGATGAGAAAACTCTGGCAAATAGAAGTTAAAGTTGTTTGCCCAGGGTCACACAGCTAGTACCCAAGGCCAAATTGGAACTCAGGTCTTGTTGACTCCAGGTCCAGTGTTCTACCCACTATACAACCCTGCAGCCCCTAGAACAAAAATAGTTATATTAACCCTGCCAGGCTTAAAAAGAGTACAGTATTTGTGTAACTATATTGCATGAGGAATGGAGGATGGAAGGAAGGTAGACAATATGGGAATGTATAAAAAAGGAAAGAGCTCTTATAATCTCAATGCTTGAAAAGATACTTGATACTAAAATAGGGTAGCAGCAATCTCATAATAGCTGCTCTTCCATACCTAGATGCTTATTACCTATCTCCTGATCTTGGCTAAGCCTGTCCTCCGGTTCTTGGAGGATCTAAAGGGAACTCATAGGCCATATAGTCCAAACCCATTTTACAGACGAGTAAACTGAGACCCATAGAGGTTAAGTGGTTTGCCCAAGGTCACAGTCAGTCTGTCAATAAGCCTCTATTAAGCTCCTACTGTGTGTCAGGCAGAAGGAAGCTAGGAGGCGATGTGGATAGTCAGGAAGACCTGAGTTCAAATCCAGCCTTATACACTCACTATGTGACCCTGGGGAAAGTCACTTAACCTCTGTTTGCTTTTATCCACTGCACCGCCTAGCTACCCCAGTCTGGTTATAAAGGGATTTAAACACCAAACTGAGGATTTTATATTAGATGCTGGAAATGATTGGAGTCACTGGAGTTTATTGAATAGGAGAAGTGACATGGTCAGATCTAGGCTTTAGTAATACCAGTTTGGCAACTGAGTGGAAGATAGTCTAGAATAGGGACAGACTTGAAGTACGGAAACCAACCAAAAACAAACAAGCAAGCAAACAAAATTACTGCAGTAATATCAAAGGAGAGGCATGATGAGAAGGTAAAATTGATAGAACTTAGGAACAGACTGGATATGGGGGAGGGGGGAATGAGGGGAATTGAGGATGGCACTTAGGTTTGAGCCTGGATGACTAAGAGGGTGGTCCTGACCTCAAGAGGAAAATTAGAAAGAGAAAAGGGTTCGTAGGGAAAGCTAATGGGTTCAGTTCTTTGAGTTTTACACTGTCTATGAGACATTCAATTCAAGATATCCAATGGGCAGTTAAGAAATGCACATCTGAAGGTTAGGAGAGGGGTTAGGGCTAGCTAAGCAGATCTGAGAACCATTAGAATTTAATTCATGGGACAGTGTGCCTGCCCACAAACATGCTTACATATATATATATACACACATACATATTTATATACACATATACATACATATACACACATGCCTCATTTTATTGCACTCTGTTTTACTGGGTTTCACACTGAATTTTTTTTTTTAAACTACGTGAAGGTTTGTGGCAACCCTGCATCCAGCAAGCCTATCCACATCATTTTTCCCAATAGCATGCACTCACATCATGTCTCTGTGCCACATCGTGGCAATTCTCACAATATTTCAAACTTTTTCATTATATATGTTACGGTGATCTGTGATCAGTGATCTTTGATGTTACTTCTGTAATCATTCTGAACACGCTTAATCGATAAATGTTTCATTGTGTTCTGACCGCTCCATTGACCAGATATTCCAGTCTCTCTCCCCTGGGTCTCCTTATTCCCTGAGATGCAACAATACTGAAGAATATTACTTAAACTTAGTTGATAAAGCAGCAACAGGGTTTATAATAATTTTGAATTAAGTTCTGCCGTGCGTAAAATGCCATCACACGGCACTGCATGCTACAGAGAAATCTTACATGAAAGGAAGGGTCAATGGATGAGGCAAACTTCATTGCTGTCTTCTTTTAAGAAACTGCCATGGCCATCCCAACCTTTAGCAACCACCACCCTGATCAGCAGCCACCAGCTTTGAGGTTAAAACCCTCTACCAGCAAAAAGGTTCTGATGATGGTTAGCATTTTTTTAAGCAATAAAGTATTTTTAAATTAAGGCCTGTACATTGTTGTTTTTAGACATAATACTATTGCACACTAATAGACTACAGTATAGTGGATACATAATTTTAATATGCACTGGGAAATCAAAAACTTCCAAGCGACTGGCTTTTACTGCTGAGGTCTGGGACCTAACCAAAGTATACGATTATTACAATCTTCTGGTCCTTGGAGGATCATAGATCTAGAATTTCAAAGGACCTCAGAGGTCTTAAAGTTCAAAACAAAGGGTATACTCACAAACACATGTACATAGGTATTAAGCGTCAGAGACAGAATTTGAACCTAAATCCTCTGAGTCCAGAGCCCGTGCTGAAATTACCATTCCACTAACACACGAAAGCAAGGTCTTCACTGGATCGGAACCGATAACAGGAGGGAACGTTAAGTGCTGGGTTTGGCGGTTTTAGGATTCCCTGTTCAATCTTTACTTTGGTTTTTTGTTGACACCTCGTTCTGCTCAGGCTTGTAATCATAGGATCAAAGATTTAGAGCTGGAAGGGACCTCTTTGGTCACCCCCTTTATTTTTTACAAAGGAAGAACTGAGGCTGACATTGGACTAAGATACTTACAGATAGCAAATTGCGTAGCCAAAATCCAAACCAGATTCTCCAACTCCTAAAAAGGTTCTCTCCTAGCCGTACTATGGACTCTCTCTACCATACCACAGAAATGGCTCATCTCACCCCTGGATTTCACACAATGGAAGTACCTTCGGCATTTGAACTCGCCCTCTTTTTGCTAGGTTCCTGCCAGACTTCCACTTTCAGGACGATGCCCAGGCCAACCATGCCTTCATTCACTCTTTAAGCTGTATTCCTGACTCTCCAGGACATTCTCTACCATGCCTTGGGTTGGGCACCCCACGCCTCTTCGTCGTCCTTTTATATGTCTATTACAATTAAAGTTATTTGAGAGGAGGGTCTTTCTTTCCTTTGCTTTCCCAGCGCTTAGTGTAGAGCCTGGCAAGCAGTAAACACTTAATAAATGCTTGTTGGCTTGACTCCCTAATGCCCCACAGTCTTAGCCTGGCAGGAGCCGAGAGCTTTGCTCACAAGCCTGGGCTCTCGCTGGAGCTGAACCCACTCCCTCTTGCAAGCCCTCCCCAGCTCGGGATGCGTCCATCTCTGGGCATGCTCCGCCCCGAGCCCGGCCCCGGAAATGCGAGCGAGCTCCGGGTCTTCCCCGTGATGTTGGCGGCTCTTCCCTTTTTTTCCAAGCCAAACGCCGCCTTAGCCTCCCCTGAGTGCCCTCCTCCCACCGGGGGGGCCTCTCCCGCGGTCCCCCGGCTTCCCCAGGTCGCATTCAGGGAACCCCGGGGGGGAGGGGGGACGCGCCGGCGCGTGCGCACGGGCAGCCCCAGGAGCGGCTCGCCGCACGTCGTAGGCCAGGGCACAGGTCCGCAGCGCGGGCGAAGTCGGGTTCCCCACGAAGGAGCGGACACGTCCGAGGACCTCAGAGGGTGAGATGGCCCTGAACGCGGAGCCGCTCCAAGAGCAGGAGGAGGAACGACTTCTCTTCCTTCTTGTTCTCTCTTCCCTCCCTATGGAGGAAGAAAAGCGGAGGAAAACGAGGAGAGAGGAAGTCCTTTCCCTACTCTTGCGGCACCTTTTGTGGACGCCCTTACTTCCCTGCCCCCTCCCCGTATCCTAGCAACGCCGCTGACGTAAAGCTGCGGGACGAAGTTGTGAGGAGGGTGGGGGGAAGGGAGGAGATCGCAGGGCGGCTTACGCTGCTGCTGCTGCGGCTGCGCAGCCAGGAGCACTCCGCTCCCCGCGGGAGGGGCGGGTTGGGCTGAGTGCCCCGCCCCCCTCTGCCTGTTTGGGCTGGTCTCGAAGTGCGGGTTACTTGAAGAGGGGCAGGGAAGGGGAGAGGAGAGGAGGGGGCGCTGTCTGGGCCTCCCCCCGGGCTCTGGCAATCCAGGAGCTCCGAGGAATTACGGGCTTCGTTTTGGAGAATGGGGTCTGAACTACAAAATGAAAATTGACAATTGATCCCTCAGCTTTTATTGAAATAATTTTTTTAAAAGTTTGAAAGACAACACGTGCCAAGGCCCCCCCTCCTTTTTTTTGTAAATGCGAATGATTACAGAGAAATCCACACATAAAAGGTTTACAATCCTTATAAAAGGTTTATATCTTTTTCCCTACCCACTCTCATTTTGTCTTTCCGTTAATGTGGTATTAGGCAAAAACAGTTTTTCTGCTGCATCTCCATTAGCTGGTAGAGTTTCCCTTCTGTTCTCTTTGAAAATGAAACTGGAATTATCCCAAAAGTTAGATGGCTTTTGATTTTTTTTTAAATGAAATTAACCCACTAGCCACCAAGAAGTAGTTATTGATTTCACTTTGTGGATAAAAAAATGGCACTAAGCAAGATCTTGAATACTTTTTGATACAATATTTCATTGTATTCCTCTAGTCACTAAGCATTTATTAAACTCCTACTATGTGGCAGGCACAGTGCTAAGAGCTTAAGATGCAAGGCAAAAGCAAGAGACAGTCCCTGGCCTGAATGAGATCAAAACTTAATGAGAGGAAACCGAATTCAAACAGGTATGTACAAACAAGCTATATACAAGATAAATTGGAAATAATTAAAGGAAAGCAGGCACTAGAATTAGGAGGGATTAGAAAAGGCTTCCAGACTCTAAGTCCAGTGCCGTAGAGGTGATAGTCTAGTGCTTTTTTTTGTAGAGAATGATTTGGAAATGGGGTGGAGGGAGGGAAGAAATTTCATGATAGCTTTTCCTCAACAGCACACTGAAGGATGTTTATTCCAAGATCTCTCAAAGTCAAACGAAATGTTTCTGATGATGACAAGAGCTGTGTGGCTAAGAAACTTAAACCACAGGGAGAAAAGCTGTCATCAGAAGAAGACAGAGAGATTCCAAATGTTGCCTTAGTGGGGGAAGAAACCTCAGCACCATCATCAGGGCAGAGCCCTGAATTAGGCTCATCACCAGATGGCCACTTTGCTGCAGTTTGTTTAGGGGGGCCTGAGCAAAGTGCTGAAGACAGCTGTGTTCCAGAAGAGCCAATAAAATCTTTTGCTAAAACCCAGCGCTTGGCAGAACCAGGGGAGCCTGTCTGTGTTGTCTGCGGTCGTTATGGAGAGTATATTTGTGATAAGACTGATGCAGATGTTTGTAGCTTGGAATGTAAGGCAAAACATCTTTTACAAGTTACAGAAAATGAAGAAAAAGTAAAGCTCCAAAAAGCCATCTCTGACCCTGAATCTCCCTCACTTGATACCTTTTATGCCTATAAAGAACACTCCTTTATTTTAAGCCTTCTGGATGACCAGGTTGAGAACCTTAAGCTACAGCTAGGAATTTCAGTACAGGGCCAGAAAGTTCCAAGGCCTATCATAGACTTTGAACATTGTGGTTTTCCTGAAGTCTTGAATTGCAACTTGAAGAAGTCAGGCTATGAAGTTCCAACTCCCATTCAGATGCAGATGATTCCGATTGGACTTTTGGGAAGGGATATAGTGTGCAGTGCTGACACAGGCTCAGGAAAAACGGCAGCTTTCCTACTTCCTGTTATCATCAGAGCCTTGGAAAAAGTAAGTTAAAGTTCACGTGTACAGTCTGATCTCCCTTTCCTTTAACATCCTGTACTTACACATTGCAGCGACATGAACAGAACCACTGGGTAGTGACCTTTTTCTTTTCCTTTTTTTTTTTAAAGTATTAGAAACCTTAAAAAAAAAACAGAATTAATTCATTCAATAAGCATTTAGTAAACACTGTTTGCCAGGCTAGGGCAGCTAGGAGGTGCAGTGCATAGAATGCCAGGCCTGGAATCAGGAAGACTCATCTTCCTGAGTTCAAATCTGGCTTCAGACACTTCCTAGCTGTGTGACCCTGGGCAAGTCACTTAACCCCTTTTGCCTTAGTTTCCTCATCTGCAAAATGAGGTGGAGAAGGAAATGGCAAGCTACGCTACTATCTTTGCCAAGAAAACCCCAAATATGGTCATGAAGAGTTGAACACAACTGAAATGACTGAACAACAAAAAACCTAATGTAGTCAAGATCAGTCGGCTCCTTCAAAAATCATCATAGAGCAAAACACATAAAATGCCAAGTTGAAACAAAGACTTCACTATGGTCAGCTAGGTATTTCTTATTTACTTAAAAACTCATCTAAGGGAAGAGCATATTTATTTGATGGAAAATTTGTGAAAGAGAATAATATCTCATGAAGAAAATTTGCTTGTCAGAATTCCAATTAGTATTTTAATAATATTTATCCATATATTTAAATGAAATTCTGAATACTACACATCAATGCATATACACATGTATGGGACAACCAACATAGATGGAAAGGAGTCCCTAAATAAATAAACAGATAGATAAATAATTTCAGAAGGAAGAAAGCATATCTGTTGTCCTTCGTAAAACAGATAGATAAATAATTTCAGAAAGAAGAAAGCATATCTGTTGTCCTTCGTTCTTGAACAGGACCAAAATGACCTCCTTATGTTGGGGTCAAGATACAGTGTGTCTGACTGTGGCTTATCAGACCAGTGTGAGCTCAGAGGGCTCTACCACAAGTCAGGCACAAACAGTCCACATGAACATTCGAAGTGGAGATGTTTCTAAATTTGCACGATTCAGGTTTCTCTTGAGCACCTACAGTTCCACTTTGCTCATAGAGCACGGCATCTTCTTTGATGCAGGCACACCATGCTGGGCAGTTCTTTGCCAGTGTCTCCCATGTCTCGCAATCGATTCCAAAGTTCTTCAGAGAGACCTTGGGAGTGTCCTTGTATTGCTTCTTCTGACCTCTGTGTGAGCACTTGCCTTCTGTGAGTTCTCTATAAAATAGTCTTTTAGTCAAACAATGTGGCCAGCCTATTGGAGTTGCTCTTTCTGCAGTAAATTTGAACGTTTGGCAGTTTAGCTCAAGAAAGGACCTTAGTGTCTGGTCTTTTATCCTGCCAGGTGATCTTCAGCATCTTCCTAAGACAATTAGAATGGAAGAGATTCAGTTTCCTGGCATGGCACTGGTATACTGTCCAGGTTTCAAAGGCATATAACAATGAGTTCAGCACAATGGCTATGTAGACCTTCACTTTGGTAGGCAGTCTAATACCTCTTCTTTTCCACATTTTTCTTTGGAGCCTCCCAAACACTGAACTAGGTCTAGCAATGTGTGCCTCCATCCCATCATCTATGGGTACATCCCAGGAAAGTATACTGCCAAGGTAAGTGAACTTATCCACAGCATTCAGTATTTCTCCATTTGCTGTTAACAAATGGTTCCACATGTGGATAGTGTAGTGCTGGATGGTGGAGAACTTGTTTTTTTGGTGTTGATTGTTAGGTCAAAATCATCACAAGCGGGGGAGAATCCATCTATACTTTGTTGCATCTTAGCCTTAGAGGCAACGTTGAGTATACATAGAAACAGAGGATATAGGACAGAATATATAAAAACAAAATATAAAACTTTTTTATGTGTAGCAATTTAAAAGGTCAAAGAAACTACCTACATTAGGTACAGTACACAATTGTTAACTGGTATCACCATAATTTTATTTGTGGGTTCAAGCACTCTTCCGGTGGCCAATAAATTTTTCACAGTTGTCTGTCTTTTATAAGTAAACTGAGCAAGTTTTGTAATTCAGAGTCATGAGTGCAAAATCTAAAATAAAATCACCCCTAAGGTTTTAGGGATGCAGTAGCTGGATGAATGATCCAAAAAATGAATAAGTCCTACAAATGACCAAATTTATTTGTGAATGAAATTTTTCCTCTTTCCCCACTTTTGAGAAGCAATTGTGACCATTTTTTCCCCGCCTGGAAATGCCCCTGGAGGCTTCGGAGTAATAGAGAACATCATAAAAGTATGACTGATGGTGAAAGGAAGAATATCTGAGCTCCACTTGCATCTTTACATCTTTTAGTCTTTCTAGAATTAAACCAGATAAGTGCCCATTAATTTGTGAACAATAATTAGCATTACAGTTTATTCACGTTGCCTATTTCTCCCCAAAATGACAATGATAAACATTAATAAACATTAAATGCCTACGGATCACTGTGTTAGATGCTAGGTGAGATAGGAAATTTAGATGTAGCATTGCTTCTGCTTTCATCAAGGTTATAGTCCAGTAGGGGAGAGGACACTATGACAGCCATAATACATATCACATGCAAAACAAAACTTTATGGGAGATCTTAGAAGCAAGGTCTATCCTGTCCTAACAAGAGGATAAGGGAAGGCTTTTTGGAGGAGATAACATTTGAGACTGATCTTAAAGGATGAGTAGGAATTCAATAGGCTAACTCAAGAAGAGAGGGAATTGCTTGCTTGAGAATATAGAAGAAATAGCCTGAGAATGAAACAAATAGTGTCGGGCTGGCAGAAAGAGGTTGGTAAATCACAGAACAAGAAGTGGAGAAATGGTATAAATGGATCGCACAGACTTCAGAAGTTGAAAAGTCATTAAGGGATAATGGTTAAAGAAGAGTCCTCCCAGGGATAAAAAAAGACTTAATGGTTGATATTCTTGATTTCTTTTTTTTTTTCTTTTTTTTCCCCTTCCTGTGTTTCTAGAATGGAACTCCATCAGCACTTATTCTCACTCCAACCAGGGAACTGGCCATTCAGATAGAGAGACAAGCTAAGGAGCTAATGTGTGGCCTGCCAAACATGAGAACAGTCCTGCTTGTCGGAGGTTTGCCTTTACCTCCCCAGCTCTATCGCCTGAAACAGAATGTTAAGGTAAGAACCAATATGGCATTTTACAATCAAAAGAGGAAAGGAAAGTTTACATCCATAGGAAATTGTAGGATTTAGTTTCAGATAGACTTTCCAAGCAGATATTTAACACTAAAACACTAAATATATTTTCTGTGGAACATTTTCCACAGATACTTGTGTAGAAATAATAAGCAACATTTCTAAGGAGTATATGAAGGGAGACTAGAACAGCTAATTGTATGGTTAAGAAGGAAGGGGCACTTATAAAGGGAAGTGGTAATCAATGAGAGGGTTCATGAAGAAAGGGTCAAGACTAACTTAATTTCCTTGTTGAACAGGTAAGTAGACTGGTTAATGAAGGGACTTCCACTGACATATTCTTTCTATATTTTAACAAGGCATTTGGCAAAGTTTTTTGTGATTTCTTTGTAGGCAAGAAGGAAGTGAAAGGAATAAGACGTTATGTAGCATCTACTATGTGCCATGCACTGAGTTAAGGGAAAAGCATATTTACTTGATGGAAAATTTATGAAAGAGAATAATATCTTGTAAAGGAAATTTTTACGAACTTATTTACAACCTTTTTACGAACATTTTCTCATTTGATTCTCACAACAGCCCTTCAAGGTAGGTAGGTAATAGTAGTTGCAGTAGTTAACATTTATATGGAAATTGTATGAGCCAGGTACTATGCTAAGTGCTTTACGATTATTATCTCATTTGATCCTCACAGCAACCTGGGAGGTAGGTGCTATTATTATCCCAACTTGACAGTTGAGGACACTGAGGTAAAGAGAGGTTAAGTACTTGCCCAGAGTCACACAACTAGTAAGCATCTAAGGCCATATTTGAACTCGGATCATCCTAACTTCAGTCCCAGCACTCTAGCACTCTCTCCACTGTGCTAATATGGGCTTGCTGATAGAGTTAGATAGATTTGTAATTAATTATGTGAGCCAACCTAAAGAATATTGTTTAATGAGTTGATGTCATTGTGGTGGGAAGTCTCTAGTGGAGTGCCCAAGGGACCTGTCCTTGACTGTCCTGTCAACATTTTTTTAACAATGACTTGAATGGGGGCAGCTAGGTGGTACAGTGGATAGAGCATGGGCCCTGGAGTCAGGAGGGCCTGAGTTCAAATCTGGCCTCAGACACAATAACACTTACTAGCTGTATGACTCTGGGCAAGTCACTTAACTCCAATTGCCTCACCCCCCCCCCAAAAAAAAAACCAACCAAACAAACAAACAATGATTTGGATGAAGGCATAGAAGACCATGATCACATGAAGCTGGATAGATTAACTAACATGTCAGATGACAGAACCAAGATCCAAAAGAGATCTAGACAGGTTAGAATGATGTACTGAACCTAATAAGGTGAAATTTAGTAGAAATGTAAAGTCTGACACCTGGATGCAAAAAATCAACTGAGCAGGGATGAAAGTGAAGATATGTGACTAGACAGTAGAGGACTGAAAAAAGGTTTAGCTTGTTTTAATGGGCTGCAGGCTTGGTATGAAGCAACAGAATGATGTGATAGCCCCAAAGCTAATGCAAACACAAACTGCATGAATGAAAATATAGCATTCAGAGCAAGGGAATTTATGGCTCCACTGCCCTCTGTCACATCAGACCAGATCCGTGTATTCTGTTCAGTTCTAGGCACAACATTTTAAGGATGTTAACAGATTGCAGTGAGTCGTGAGGAAAGCATCCAGAACATTGAGAAGACTGGAAATCATGCCTTACAAGGGTTAGTTGAAGGAACCAGCACTATCACAGTTAGTTCCAGCAGTCTGGGGACTTAAGGATATTTTCATAAGACTACAGACTAGTAATGCTTAATGTAATAAGCCTTTATTATGATGTGTTTTGAGAGGCTTAAAGCCTAACATGAGACATCCCAGAGATGGAGGTAACTAAAGTCATAAGCCAGGAGGTTGCCGAAACCTCATTCACAATGCTCTTCATAGCAGGATGAGGAAGAGGGGCCAGAGGTCAGTAATGGTACTATAAGAAATTGCCCTTGTGTTTAGCACCCTCAGGATCTGCCAGTCTCTAATCACTCCCTTCTGGTTGATGGGCAGGATGCCCAGATCCTTGTCACCTCTACATTAGGGTAGTTTCATGATGTAGGGAGGCACCATGGATTTATGTAGGGAGAGGAAAGGTTCTCAGGAGCATCTAAGTCATGTCCTATCTCTGAGGTCCTGGGTAGGAAGATGCTAGGAAGGCCCCACCTGTATACACATGTGGCATGGAAGTTTCAAGAAAAGGACGGGTAGAATGGGTACATCTAAAGCAGAAGTGTCCTGTGACAAGTGACTGTCCCAAAAGCTCCAACAAAACCAAAGGGGTTTTTTTGGACTCTCAGAGGACATTTAGCCTAAAGAAGAGAAGATTTGGTGAAGGGGTGTGGGGAGTGATGAGAGCAGACTTCAAGCATTTGAAGGGTTGTCAGGTGAAAGAAGAATTAAACTTAATCTTCTCAGCTCCAGAAGGCAGAACTAGGAGGTAAGAGTGTGTGTTGTAACGAGGCTCCATTTTGGCTCAATAGAGGGAAAAACTTCCTAAGAATTAGAGCAGTCCCAAAGTGGGTGTAGTGAGTTCCTTGTCCCCAGAATTCTTCAGGTAGAGGCTAGATGACGACTAGATGACTCTCCCAATGGGTGTAGAGAAATGGCCATGGTAGAGGGATTTATTGTCCATGTGTGATTGGAGTAGATAATCTCTAAAACGTCTTCCAACTCTGCAATTTCAGTTAGTCAGTAAACATTTATTAAGAGCCTACTCTTCCTACGGTGCCCTTGTGTTTGGCACACCCAGAATCTGTCTACTGTGCTGATTTCGACATTGAATTACTCTGTAGTGTATTTGAAAGGTAGAATAACACTGTATTTGTTAGGCTGTTTGTTGACTTGCCATGTATAATTTATTAGAAGTCAGGAGGGACTGTCCCACCATACATGAAATCACAGGTCTTGACCTAAAAAAATAGTTATGTGATTTATTTTTTCTTCCTTCTAATTTTGCCTTTCCTCTTTCTATAAGGTTATAATAGCAACTCCTGGGAGACTTCTGGAAATAATGAAACAGAGCTCTGTGGAACTCAGTGGTATAAAAATAGTAGTCATAGATGAAGTAAGTATTTTAAAAACATATGTATATGTTTTTTAAAATACCGAATTGTGTGTTATTTGAAGTAACTTTTAATGTTGAAAACCTAAGACTCTCTACATACAGGAGTTCTTAACTTGCTAATCTTGGACCCCTAACAGATCTGTCGATTGATTTTAGGAAATCTGTCAATTTTTATGAGAAAAAAATTACATCCTTATTTTCACTCATCTTTGGTTTGCTTTTCAGTTTTATACATTTTCTTTTATGCATTTAAAAATATGGTTCTGAGAAACGGTTCATAGGCTTCACCAGACTGCCCAGGGATCAGTGGCACAAAAATATGTGAAGAATCTCTGGTCTAAAAAAGCAGCAAAGCCAAGATAAGCTGCATATACTTAAAGGACAGTAACCTTTCCCCCGAACACCTAATATACACATTTACATACACAGGGTGGTGCTCTTTTGACTCAGGATGCTGACCAGAGGTCTCTTTTCTCTGTGCCTGGGGAAGGGCAATGCTCTGTCTCTTAAGAAATGCTCTTATATACAGAGAATTAAGGCAAATTTGTAAAAATACGAACAATTCACCAATTGATAAATCATCGAAGGCTATGAATAGGCTGTTTTCAAAAAAAGAAATCAAACCTATCAATAGCCATTTGAAAAATTCTCTAAATCACTATTGATTAAAGAAACGTAAGTTAAAACAACTTCGAGGTACCGTCTCACACCTATCAGGTTGACTAATGTGACAGAAAAGGAAAATGACGAATGCTAGAGGGGATGTGGGAAAAGGGACACATGCATTGCTGGCGTTGTCACAGAGTGGTCCAACCATTCTGGAGAACAATTTAGAACTATGCCCAGAGGGCTATAAAACTGCATATCCTTTGAGTCAGCAAATACTAGGTCTGCATCACAAAGAGATCAGAGATAAAGGAAAAGGACCTTTAAGTGCAAAAATATTTACAGCAGCTGTTCTTTGTGATGAGAAAGAATTGGAAACCAAGGGGTTGCCCATCAGTTGGGGAATAGCTGAACAAGTTGTGGTATATGAAGATGATTGAATACAATTGTGCTCCAAGAAATGATGAAGGGCACGGTTTCAGGAAAACCTGAGAAGACTTGTATGAGGTCATGCAAAGCGAACAGAACCAGGAGACCATTGTACACAGCAACAGTGGTATTGTAACAGTGACCAAATGTAGAAGACTTCGCAACTCTGATCAGTACAATGATCCATGACATTTCCAAGGGATTCATGATGAAAAGTGCTATCCACCTCCAGAGAGAGAACTGATGAACTTTGAGTACAGATTGAAACAGCTTTTCTTTTACTTTCTTTCTTTTTCTTGCTTTTTTTTTCAACATGACTAATATGGAAATATGTTTTGCATGACTTCATATGTGTAATTGATATTGTGTTTCTTGCCTTCTCAGTGGGTGGGGAAGAGGGAGGGTGAGTGGGAGGGAGAGAATTCAGAACTGAAAATAAAAATTAAAAAAATAAATAAACAGATGCTCCTTGATTAACAGGAACTTGATCTTATCTTAGCTGGTCTTGCAGTACCTTAAGAGAATGAGTTATCAAGGCTGACTTTACACCAAAATTTTATAGATCATACTGCATATGGATTATATGGATTAGCCACATTGGTTGGTTAGAAAAATTTGCAAATTGTTCTCAAATTATGAATCTGATAAATTGGTTTTGTATTAAAATTGAAATCTTTTATCCTCAGTGCTCTTCATTTGAGTTCTTTTCGTTCTTCCAGTATTTATTGAGTCCCTACTGAATGCCCTGTACTCTGTTAGGTGTTACAGTGTATAAAGGTCAGATGAGACAGTTCTAACTCACAGGAAGCTTATACTCCAACTGGAGAAGGAAGGTAAACATATTTAATACAATCAGTGATCAGGACAGCATGCTCTCTATAACATTATACTCTAATATAATGCTAAATTGTACAGTAGAGGAAATTAGGACATGATTGTGCTACATTTTTGTCTTTTGTTTTTGGTATAGATGACAAATTTAAGAAGGATGAAATTAATACGCTTGTCCTCAGAAAGCTTCACTCAACATTGTGACTTGAACATAGTGTATAGATGAGTAAACAGGTGGGGGAGGAGCATGTAGCATGACAGAGGCAGGAGAAAGCATGTGTGCTGTGGGCTCTGTGAGATAGAAGCTGAGGCTTTGTCTTGGGAACTAGAGGGAAATAAGGTTGGATAGATGGGATTGGGATATCACATTGTGGTGGGCCTTAAAAACTAGGCATAAGAGTTTGGATTTGATATGGTAAGAAGTTCTTGTAGCTACTTGAGCAAGGTATTGTTTAGGGAGATGAATTTGGCTCCGTGTACAAGTATACAAGGTAGATTGAAGAGGATTTGGACCAAGTTTCAGAAAGATCAGCAGAGGCTGTTGTAGGAATGCTGCAGGTGTGACAAGGGGGTGCAAAAACTAGGGCAGTGGAAGGAGGAATCTGGAGGAAAGGGTGAGTGCGAGAGCCATTGTGAAAGACAAATCAACAGGATTTAGCGACTGATGAGATATGAAAGGAGGGGATGGAAAACAGTGATGTCATCTTTTTAAATAGCAGGTTAGGTAGGAACAAGAGAATGAGCATAGTCTAGATATGTTGAATTTGAGATGACAGAGGAACTTCCAATATCATGTAGGTATCTGGAAAAATGGAGCCTGGAGTAGATTTGGAGTCATCATTAGAGAAGCCTTTATTGATTTCTCACCAGCCATAGTGTTCTGTATTTAACTACATTGTGTGTGTGTGTGTGTGTGTGTGTGTGTGTGTGTGTAAATATGTGTGTAATACAGATTAACTTTTCTTTATGCTGTATATTTTTTTTATGTACTTGTCTCCCCCATTAGAATGTAAGTTCATTTAGAGATCATTTCATTCTTTGTACTTGTGTCCCCAAGTTTCTAGCAGATTCCTGGCGCATAATAGGTACTTAATAAATGATTGATTGATTGAGGTAATGATTGAAGCCATGAGATAGAATGATTTATCTGAGGGAGAGAATGTGTAAAGAAAAGTAGAGGTTCTTTGTTACAAGATAAGAGTTCTTGGGCCTGGAGACGTACTAGAAAATAACTGTTGTATAAGAAGAAATGGAAATCATCATTAAAACCTTTTTTTTTTTTAAATGAAAGAAAAGCAGGGACCAGTGACTGAACCTGGAGGTTGGGGCATTGGCATGCATAAGGAATTTGAGAAGGATCCAGTGAATGAGACAGAGAAAGAAAAATTATGATTACATAGTGTCACAGAAGTCAAAGTTACAGGGACAGTGTTCAGTGCTGCAGACAGGTGACAAGGGATGAAGAATGGGGAAAGATTTTTAGATTTTCTTGGAAGAATAATATTTTGGAATTGTTGACATTTGAAAGTATAATTTTGGCAAAATATTGATGTTGGAAGCAGATAACAAGAGATTTAAAGTGGAGTGAAGGGTGATGAAATAGAAGTAGCCAGAGTATGCTGTCTGTTTAAGAAATTTGACAGTGAAGGGACGATAGGGTTTTTAAACCTAGGGAAACTTGAGCTTATTTTTTCTTGTCCATTGAATCTGTTTTTGACTCTTTTATTTTCAAGGTAAGAACAATAACCCACATTTATATTACAATGTATATTTAAACTATTTAATAGCCATCACCCATTTAAATAAGATAATGCTATACCAAAGGTTATAATCTTTAATAATACTTTGAGTTTATACAGTATATTAGTGAGTTAATTTATGTAAAGTGCTTTGAAAGCGCTAAAATGCTACATCAATGTCACCTATTATCTTTGTTATAAAATATTTTCTTCCCAGCAACCCTGTGAGATAGGTGTACCAGAATTATTATCTCCATTTTACTTAAAGAAACTGACACTCGGAAAGGTTGTAACTTGCCCAAGAATACACTGCTAGTAGTTAGTCAGACACAAGACCAGAAATCAGTTCTTAACTTCTTGTCCAGGGAGCTTTCCATTTTACTATCTGACTTCTCATGCCTCTTTTATTTCTAAAAGGAATGGATTATCTTTTCCACTTTATTTCTTTGTAATTAGATAGGGAGTGTTATTACTTAAATTTACATAAAAGAAACCAAAATTCAGAGAGAATGCCTTCTTTCAGTCCTATGGTAGTCATTGGATGAGGAATAGAATTTTGACTTTTGGCTTTCTTACTCAATATGCTCCCCACTAGGCTCAGTACTATCTGTATACATGTCTGCTTTAGAGGTGATATTTGTTTTAGATTTTGGCTTCAGACAGTTTTTCACATGTGAGTGACTCTAAAAAAAGTAGAGTGAGGTGGTAATATTAAGATACAACTGTTTGCAAGCTATAGCTAGAGAACAACAGGCAAATATTTAAAATATTTAAGTGCTGTGATAAAGTTGAATGAAGAGTTAAAGGACAATGAAATGTTTTGTTTTTATTTTTATTTTCTTTGTATGATGAACACTCAAACTGATATTTACAATGTTGAAGTGTTAGCCACTTTAATAAGTGTAGCATTTTGTAACTTTATAATGATTTCGTTTTAGGCTGATACCATGTTAAAGATGGGCTTTCAACAGCAAGTCCTTGACATTTTGGAAAACACTCCTCTAGATCGTCAGACTGTTTTGGTTTCCGCCACAATTCCAGCAAGCATAGAACGTTTCGCAAGCCAACTTCTACATGATCCTGTGAGAATTATCATTGGAGAAAAAAATCTGCCCTGTCCCAATGTCCGCCAAATTATTTTGTGGGTAGAAGAACCTTCCAAAAAGAAAAAGTTATTTGAGATCTTAAATGTGAGTAGAGAAATATACTTTTACATTTAAAGTCTGTCAGATAATGGGAACATTTTTTTCTCCCAATTTTTACAATAATGATTTTAGGTGGAATTGGTATGAAAATTTGATACATTTGATTGAACCTCTACTTTTTTCCTAGCTTTTTCTGAAAGATGTAAGAAAATTACATTTTTTAGAGTTGAAATTTAAAATTTAAATTTTAAAAATTGAAATTCTTTTCCCCTTAATTTTCTAGAATTTGCATATAGAAAAATCTTTGCACTTAGGATTGTTGGATCATAGATTTAGAGCTGGGACCTTAGAGAACTTAGAAGGACCTTAAAAGCCACTGAGTCAATCCTTCATTTTGCTGATGAAGAAATTGAGGTTGAGACTGGTTAAGTTATTTGCCCTGGGTCTCAGGGCTAGTGAGTGTATAAGGAAGGATTCCAAGTCAGGTCTTTCTGACTCCAAGGTCAGCACTCTCTCCTCCGTGCCATATAATCCCTTTGGGTATATGTGGACACTGGCTATTTTTTTAAAGTTATGAATAACTAGAGTACTTTATTTATAGGTGATACTTACTCTATGCAGACAGTATTTAAAGTGTGCTCATTGCCCCTAATGGCTTATGATTTATTTTCAATACATTGATGTTGGGGTAGAACAGTGCAGGGTAGGGAAAAAGAAAGAGAGAGAGAGAGAGAGAGAGAGAGAGAGAGAAAGAGAGAAGATTTTTGCATTTTTTTCTTAATGACTAATGATAAAGTTTAGCTTCTTTTAATGAATGGGACCCTCAAGAAAGAAGTTTACCCTATTGAAACAAGCATTTTCTTTAAAATAACCTCCCAAGTATATTTAACTCACTCATCTAGGGTTAAAAACTAGTTTTAAATGAATAGGAGAAAATGTATTTTTAGGATTTAAATTAAGGATAAACATTTTAATATTCTTTTTTAAAGAATGTTTTAATTTTTTTCTCTATTACATGTAAAAACCTATTTTTAACATTCATTTTTTATAATTTTTGAGTTCTGAATTCCCTCCCTTCCTTCCTTGTCTTGAGAAGGCAAACACTTTGATATAGATTATACATGTACAGTCATGCAAAACATATTTCCATATTAGTCATGTTGTAAAAGAGAACACGGAAGAAAGTAAAAAATGCATGCTTCCATCTGCATTCAGACTTCTTCAGTTTTTTCTCTGGAGGTGGTTAGCATTTTTCATCATAAGTCCTTCAGAAGTATCTTATAAAATTTTAATATTCTATTAACCATAAGGGGGTAAGAAGTATATGGGTCTATCCCTAGTTCTGTCTTCTGAGAAGAGGAAAAAAACTGGGTTGTGGACACTTGGGAGAATATTTTAAGCAAGATGCTTGTTGGAACAAACCCCTTTTTTATCTCATATCAGTTGTAATAACTGTTTAGCCAGTTTGCTAAATGTAAAGTAGAAGCATTTTCCACCATAGCCTGTGTAATGTGAATGACCTAAAATAGTTTTTTCAAATGACTTCTTTTTTTTTTTCAGGATGAGAAACTCTTTAAGCCTCCAGTGCTAGTGTTTGTGGACTGTAAACTAGGAGCGGACCTTTTGAGTGATGCAGTTCATAAAATCACTGGGTTGCAAAGCATATCTATGCATTCAGATAAGACACAAGTAGAGAGAACAAGGATATTGCAGGTTTGACCCTCCTATCATGTATGTTGCTTCCAAACAAAACCAAACACATTGTTTCCCATTTTCACTTATGTGTTACTACCCGGTTCTTACAGATCTTACTGTTACCCTAAGACTTTAAATGAAATTTATTTTCATCTTTGAAGTAGAAGTCAAATCCTCATAAGTTTAAATTCCATTCATTCTGAAATTGTCATCATTTGGGCAGAATTTTTACTAAATTAGTAAATAGTATTAGCAAGATTACTGGAGATTATGGAGATTTTTAAGTTACTTGAAAGAACAGATTTTTTTAAAAATTTAGAATTATCTGTTCATTCAAACAAATCCCAGTTCCCATAGTTTGCCAACCCCTAGTCTAAGTTGTCAGTATGCTTTTAATCCTGACTGCCACACACAGTGTTATGTGTGGTCCTCATGACTGTTCAGAATCTCTAGTTTTATTTGTACTTGGAGCTAGCATTCAGGTATAGCACTTTATATTTGGGAATATATGAAAAAGTTGCTAAAAAATGACAGTGTCTTAGGTTTACAGCCATAAAACCACTAATACATAGATCAGCTGAACATAGATTAAAAAGAACTAGTCAGTTTGTACTGATTTAATCTCTCTCTCTCCCTCATCCTAATCTATATTTAATTCAACACACATATTAAATACATGGCATTGTGCTGGGTACTAAAGTAGCTAAGGCAAAAATGAAAGAGTCCTGCATCTAGGAATTTAAATTCTACTGGTTCCATCACTTTCTAATCTTTCCACTTTCTACCGTCAACTTCTGTTCCTTACCCCCAAAATGTTGCTTTCCTAGAAAGGAAGATGTGTTTGGATTGGTTAGTTACTGAAATAGACATAGTATTTGAAGGACTCTAGGTAAGTCTTACCCATGAAGAGCATGTATATTTGAAAGGATGGCTCCTTTCTTTTAGAATAACACTGTGTGGGAATATCCTGACTTTTTCCCAACTCTTTGTTCAAAGTGTTACCAAAGATAACATTAGCAAATCATTGCAGGGATCCTTGAGCCACATACATGAAAATCCTTTTATTAAGCTCTTTACTCATCATAGACTTGGTTATACTTTGAGTCAAATTGTGCCCCCCATGACCATCATGAGATAATACATCCTTCTTATAATATGGAAGCAAATCATTTCATTTCCTTCAATCTTCTTGTTCTTATCTTTTAGAAATGAGGGGGCTGGACCAAATTCTAAAGTTCTGTGACCTGTATTTTGTATGTTATTCTTGCTTTGAATCACAGTGAGGTTCATCTCTACCTTCTCCCTCCCCCAACAGTGGAAACACGTAAGCCTATTTACTGTGAAGCAAAGAAGTTTACAATATATAGGTATTGGGCTTGGTGCTAAGTGATCAACATTATGACCCTTGCCCTCAAGAAGTTTGCAGTCAATTTGGGGAGATAAGACATATATGCATACAACTTTTCTTGTTGTCCAGTCATTTCAGTCATGCCCTACTCTTCGTGACCTCACTTGGCATTTTCTTGGCCAAGATACTGGAACAGTTTGTCATTTCCTTCTCCAGTTCATTTTGCAGATGAGGAAACTGAGGCAAACAGGGTTACATGACTTGTCCAGGTTCTCACAAGTAGTAAGTGTCAGAAGTTGGATTTAAACTCCAAGCCTAGCACTCTATCTACTCCATCACTTATCTGCCCACATGGAACTAAATCAAATAAGTACCTGGAAGGGTTTAGACAAATGCTGGAAGAAATCTGTGGAACTGAGGAAGAGGCATTTCCCACTAGAGTGGGAAAAGCACTGCATTTATAGTCTGAGGATCCTCATTCAAATTCTGACTGATTCTTACTACTTGCATGACATTGGGCAAGCTATTTAATCTCTCTTGTCCTGGCCTTCGTAAAGTGAGGGGGTTATCACAGAATCTCAGAGCTGTAAGAACAATCTATACAGACTAGAAAACCTCTCAGATCACTTTAAGCTCTTGCTGTTAATACTGTGAAACAAGTTCTGGTGGGGGGATATCGTGGAAGGCTTCATGGAGGAGATGATATATGAGCTAATTCTTCAAATATAAGTAGGATTCTAGAGACTCTGTAATTCTTCATATAGAAGTTTCTATTTTAATTACTGCAACAAAACAAAGTGTATTGCTTTTTTGACAGGGATTATTTCAAGGAGAATATGAAGTCGTAATAAGCACTGGAGTCCTGGGACGAGGACTAGACTTGATCAATGTCAGATTGGTTGTCAATTTTGATATGCCTTCTAGTATGGATGAATATGTACATCAGGTAAAAAAAGGTTTTCTGTGGTATCCCAAACCTCCATTTGGGAGTTATTTTTAGTCTCCCTTTTAAAATACACTGCTCTAGTGGTTCTGTGAGCCCATTTATACAAGTCTTCCCTTTAATCTCCAGTAGAGATTACCATTTAAATTAATACATTTGTGCCCAGCAAAGCAGAACCCTTTAAAATCTTTCTGTTTGGTGTAAGTCTTGCCTTTATCCATTTATACTCAACCATGAGTTCTAACATAAAAAGGACTTTTCCCCTCTCAGAAAAGCCTTCTGCTCACTTCCTTATCCAGTGCATGCTGGAATTAGAATGGAATTAATTATGAATGACTCTTCTTGCCTGTTGTCTTCACCTGCTAAGAGAGAGGATGGGACACTTTGGGATCTGGGCTGTGTGCCAAGGCCATCTACTCTGGAGCTACAGATATGTTCAATTTGGCAGCTGCTTATGACTTGCAGAGCCTTTTCCCTGGTACTGGTTTGCTGGAATGAGCCTCTGTCAAATATTCTTGCCCTGCCTTGTGTCTCTGCTGGAGAGAAGAGTTTATCTGGTTTTTAGATGTACAACTCTGGAAATCACCTGAGAAATGAGAGCTGCACAGGTGTGCCCCTGAGACTGAGCAGTAACTTCCAAGTTCGGTTTCCAGAGCTAAGGATAGGAGCCCTGAACTTTAACCTCTGGATTTGGCCTGGTTATCCCACCAGTTGCTTGGGAGCTATTTTTAGGTGCCTCTGGGAATTGGAAACACAGTTATCAAGACTGTATATTTATATGATAAAATCTTTTTTTTTTGAGGTGGTCCATGAAAGTGAATTTTCCGGACGACCAAAACTTGCCCACTTTGCCTCTGAAGTGTTCTTCTAATTTAACCATTTTGAGGGAAATCTTTCTAAAAGTTGATATTTTCCTGCTGCTTTAATCAGTGTACACTGAACGTGTAGGTGTAGATCAGTAGAGATCATTTGATCCAATATGTTCATTCTATAGATAGGAAACTAAAGTCCACAATTGTTAATGACTTGTATGAGGCTTACCCAAGCAAAAGTAGGACTATAGCCCAAATTGTCTGACTCTTAGTCCAGTGCCCTGCATACTATATTGTACTGACAAATCTGGATTGACCTTATTAGCATCAATTATTCTGCCGGGTTGTAATGTATCTGTGTTGTTGAGGAATGTACAACTTTTAGGTCATCACTAACGGGCTCCAGACCGTCCTACCTAGTTTTGTGTGTGCTTCTTAATTTTCTTTTTCTCCTTCCTCATTGCCAGCTACCTTTTCCGGTTGCTGTCAGTACGCCTGACTCTTGTAACCCACTGTTGCTGCCATTCAGATTTTCTATGGGCTAGAACAAGGGGCTGGTTATTATTGTGTGAAAATGAGAGTCTCTTCTACCAAGTTTTTGTGAGTTATTTTGACTGCTTTGGAGGGGGACATTGAGCAGAGTGAAGTGTTTTTTAATTTCCAGATTTGTAGATGTTTTTGCAGATGGTTACAGATAAGAGCCCTGGAAGTTTGACTTGGGTAAGTGAGGGATATTACTGTGTATCAGTCAGCAACCCAAACTAGTATGAGGCCTGCCTGAAACAAATGGGTTTAATCTTAAAGAAACTATTTTGTAATTAATTTTTTAAAAAAATGTTTACGGGAAGGAATATTTTATGTAGGAATAGTGTTAGGCTAGACATTGAGAGTCCTGTATTCTAGTTGTTATTCTTCCAGTAACTTGCTCTGTGACTTTCTCCACGTCAATTCACATGAGGGGCCTGGGGTAGAAATGATGCCTAAGGACCGTTTAAGTTCTTTAGCATTATTTGTGCATTAGTATAATTCTTTAAAATGTTATCACTTATAAATATCGGGTGTAGTAAGTATGGAATGTGTGGTAAAATACTTTTGTCAGGCTAATAAATATTGTAAATCTATCTAAGGATTATACTTTTTTTTTCTTTTTCTGTTTTTCTTTTTGGGGGGCTAGGCAGTGGAGTTAAGTGACTTGCCCAGAGTCACACAGCTAGTAGTGTCACGTGTCTGAGGCCAGATTTCAACTCAGGTCCTCCTGACTCCAGGGCCGGTGCTCTATCCACCGCACCATCTAGCTGCCACAGGATTGTACTTTAAAAAAATAACCCTTGATTTTCATTATCATGACCACTCTTTGGACTCATATAGCTTGCAGCTTCCTCATACCTTGGTAAATGGTTCTGTTTGCTACTAGAACCAAAAATAAAGTCCTTCAGTAGTCCTTGAAACTAGTTAGACTGATTCTTGGGGGACAGACATATTGTCCATTTCCAGGCTTAAACTTGAAATCTTACTCCATGTTGGTAAGGACCTGTCAGAGCTTGCTTTTGACTAGCTCCGAGCTTCAAAACCCTGGGGTCCTCTCCATGCCATGATGAAGGATCTGAGCAGTATGTAAGTAGAGGATGCTGTTTGTCAACCAGTATGAATGTATCATGGACCACATGTGGAAACATGCCCATTTGTAGATGAGGAGGTTTAGTTATACTGGCAGACAGACATCCTGGCTTCGAGAATGTTGATGAATTGGTTGAGGCAAGTAGCAATTATTTCCCACTTGAGAACAGTTTGGGTTTATTTTGCTTAGCTTAAGTTAGAGAAAATGTGATGTTTGCATTAACATCAACTGTTTTTCAAAGTACAGTGGCACTGTAGTTAATTTCAAATAATTTTAAAACGCTCTACCCAAACTTAGAAAACCAATCTAAACTTTAACAAATTTCTGGAAATGGACTATAAAATGAATCTCTGAATAATTATAATAGAAGTCAGTCATGTTTGCCCAGGTCTTTCTCTGGGTAGTCTCTAAAGGTCCACTTTTGGGGAAGGAGGAAGACCAAACCTATGATTTCATTGGTGTTGGAACTTTGAGTAAGGAAATCAACTCCCTTTTAGCCCTCAGAGAAATTCTTACCGAACCCATAAGTTCAGTTCTTTGTATGGGAATTCATCATGATATTCCTTGAGAGTTTATTGCTTTCTGATGCCATTGATGAAATAACTTTAGTGTCACATTTCAGGTGGGACTAATATTCTAAAGCTGGTAGATAATCCCTCATTTAGCTAAAGATTATAGCTAAAAGATTATAAAGATTATAAAGAGTTCTTTAAAAAGTAATTTCTGTTCTTAAGGTCTGATAATAGGAAAGCTAATATTAGTAAAGATTATTAAAATGATGTGTCTTCCCTTTTCTTTCCACTTGGATAGAGGCTAAGATTTTAAATAATCCTTTGAATTTCATTTACAGGTTGGAAGAGCAGGAAGATTAGGTCACAATGGAACTGCAATTACTTTCATCAATAACAACACAAAGAAGCTTTTTTTGGATATTGTGAAGAGAGTCAAACCAACGGGATCCATTCTTCCTTCTCAGTTACTAAACTCCCCTTATCTGCATGAACAGAAGAGAAAAGAACAGCAAAGAGTTAACCAGGCACAGGACACCGTAGTAACTGGTGATAATCTTATGGACATTATTAAAAAACATGATAAAAGTCATTCTCAGAAGTAACTAATTGTGCCACTTTGGATAATCTTGTCATTGTGCAACAGCAATGAAATTCTGCAAATTACTATCGTTTAGTGTCTGAATAAACAGAGCGTATTTGTAAGGTGAAGATATAGGGATGATTTTTGTTATTGTTGATTATGTCAGACTTGGACAGCAGAAGTTGTACATGGCTTCTTTTCCTTCATGTAACTGCTAAAGATTGCCATTCTATCTATAATGCGTGAGATTGAAAACAAAGGATCTGATTTTGTCCTGTGTGCAGAATTATTTTGAGAAGATTAAAAATCTTTTTGCATTACGGAAGACCCAGGTTGTTTTCTTTCCCCTTCAATCCAGTAAACATGCTTTGTTTACTATTTCTAAGAAGACACGTTCAGGGATTATTTTATGTTTATGCCACATATTGCATTGCCAATTGACAACTTTACATATGATGTAAAAAAATATTTCAATGCTTCTGTACTTTGTTTTTAAAAAAAAAATTAAATATACTTTTATAGTGGGGGATATGGTAGTAGGGTAGTAGGTAGATTATAGTAGGGGCAAGATGGTAGGTTAGGCAGGAACCCAACTCAACTCTCTCAACATTCTTGTTCAGATAACTTTAAAATAATGCCTCAAATCAAATGTTGGCATATCAGAAACAGCAAAAGCTCAGGGTGAAAAAGTTTTCCAGGGACAGCTAGGTGGAGCAGTGGATAGAGCTTAGACCTTGGAGTCAGGAGGACCTGAGTTCAAATGTGGCCTCAGACACTTGGCACTTACTAGCTGTGTGACCCTGGGCAAGTCACTTAACCCCAACTGCCTCACTGAAAAGAAAAAACAAAACAAAACAAAAAAAAGTATTAGTTCCCAGCATGACCCAAAAGCAAGTACAGAGTATTTAGCATGGGATAATGCTAAGTCACTTACACTCCTGTTCTCTTTCTCTCAGCTGACTTTTACTAACCTACATCCATGCTGGCAAAGCTGATTTTTCCATAAGGGAGATAGGCCACAGACATACCATGCTGCTACAACTCACTTCAATGGTGCTAGGGGTAGTCCTGGTATAGGGAAAGCTACAGAGTTACTACTTACACTTTAGCTCCTAAGACCCCACCATTGTGCTTTCCATTACACAAATCAGTCACAATGACACCATTTGTTCTTAAACATGAAATACTGAATGAGAAGGTAAAAGCAAGAATAATTATAACATGTAATAAATAGAAGGCGAAAGAAGAAACAATAAACACTTAATAGTCTACTTATAAACCCAAGTCACATTTTTCCATCTATACACACAGTGTCAGGAATGCAGAATGAGGGAATCCAAGCACAAATTTATAGAACCTTATCAGTGATGTATGTAAGTGTGGAAACTCATAACCCCAGACATACTCATAACTCTAGACTCCAGACCTGACTGCCTGTAGTCTCTTTAGAGAATAGTCTGAAACATGTGTTACTTCTTCCTGCTAGGATCTTATCCAGTCTCCTTCCTGATGGACAAAGCTGTTTCTCTGCTACTCTTGGGCCAATGAAACAGTATTAAGCTCTTCTAGCCAACAGCAGCATTGAGCCTTGGGTATGCATAGCTTTCAAGGTCTGCTCTTTTGGCTAGGCTCTATGGCAACATTATATCCTTTCTGCGAAAAGCAGTTCTTTTAATACTAGGATCTGCAAAGCTATTCCCATCTTCCTTTCTATAGGTTTTGAGGGGTTTTCCCCTTTTGAGCCATAGAAGGACATAAAGATAAGTAGGTAAGTCTTTGAAGGATTTCCCCCCTTTCTGTAGAAGACACTAGAGAGCAAGGCAGCCCCTTCCCCAGCCAGCGTTTCACTGACAGACAGCAGAGGATTCTCTTTTCTTCTAATCAACTCTCAAACAGCAGACATTTCTGAGTTAAATGAAAAATCACTATTTCAGTCACATACAACACAAATAGTACATATACAATAGTCCCAAAGTCCCAAAATAATCCTTTGATTCAAAGTATCCCAGAAATGAACTCCAAAGTATTGAAAACATATTCAAATGAGCTAATGGACAAAATGCAGCGTGGCTATCTTTTACATCAGTCACTATTTTGGCTTCTGAGCTGCTTTCACTCAGTTCCTCTCGGTACTTTTTTATTTGAGGGGAAGTTTTTTTCTCAGATCCTTAGAACTGTTTGTGTTTCTCTTCAAGCTGTTTTCCTCTGTTTCACACAAAATGTGTCATTTCAGCAAATAAAATGCCTACATAAGAAAGAAGCAATACCTTACACCCATTTTCCACTGTTTCTGATACAGTAAGTCACAGTGGGAGTTAGGAAGCAGCAGTGTTACCATGGATTCCAAAAAAGGGCTTTTGTGCCCCAATGGAATGAAGAACTAAATTACATTGTAAACAGCCAGTATTTAGGAGAGACCTGAAATCCAGAAGAGTAATGTAACTACAGTAACACGGCAGTTATCTGGCTATCAGATATAGCTGGTACCTTAACCCACTGGAACACATACAGCCTAGAAGTTAAAAAAAAAACAAAACAGCCAAACACTGAAGGTAACCACTCAACAAATATTTCTTAGTGCAACATTTCAACAAATAGAATTGAAATACATAGATTAAAAAAGATACAATGGTAATTGGCCTACTCACTGACCCTGAGGAGTTTTCTCACTCTCATGATAAATGTCAAAGCCAAGAGCTGTTAGCAACAAAGCTACTTTTCTTGAGTCAGTAGAAGAACAAAGAGTTATGGGGGTGGGGATGGGGGATTAAGGAGGGAAAGAGAGCAAATGGAAGAAGCAAAAGAATAGTTAGCAACGTGATTAGAAGGAATAGCTGGAATGCTTAGAAGCTGACCTTGGCAAAGTGGAGAGAAATGATAGCAGAGAATAGGGACAGCCACAAGGGAAGAAAAAGAAGAGACCATTAGCCAGATAGTAAGAATACACTGGGAGCATTCTATGTAGAGACAAGTAGCTCAACGTAGCTCAGTAGCTACTGAAGGAAGAATTCACTCTATTGTAATACAATAAAATTTAATTAGGTTATTCAGAGCGGACTCCATTCTGAATACAGAACAGTAATGGCTTGGGCTATTACATTAAATTAGTATCAAGGAGCATTAGATTTAGAGTCAGACCTACTTTCAAAACTCAACTCGGATACTACTAGTGTGACCTTGGCTAAGTCATCTCACCCCTTCATGATTAAGCTTCCTCATCTGTAAAATGAGATTATTGTATCAGATAATCTCTAAGGTGCCTTCCAACTCAACATCCTATGAGTTTATATCAATTATAGCTATAGGCAAAATTATGTGTGTTCCTTACTTAAGTCAAAGAATGGTATAATGCATATCCACAAGAATGGTATAATGTTCACTCATGCAGAAAGATTTCCATCAAAAATTGTTCAAATATATCAGCAGTTCAACAAGTCAAATTAAATCAAGTAAACAAATGTTTATTACATACCAGCTACGCACCAAGCACTGTGCTAAATGTTAGGAATACAAAGAAATGCAAGAAAAAAAAAGTCCCTACTCTCAAGGAGATCACAGTATAATTGGGGAGACAACCAGGAGGCAACTATGAAAAAACAAGCTATAGAAAGGATATATTAGAGATGGTCTCATGGGGGAGGCATTATCATTAAAGGGGATTGGGAAAGGATTCTTGCAAAAGGTAAAGTTTTAGCTGAGACTTGAGGAAGCCAGGTAAGCCAATAGGTAGAGATAAGGAAGGAGAGAATTAATGCAAAATCAAGAGATAGAATCATCCTACATGAGGAATAGCAAGGAGGTTGCAATTTAAAAAAAAAATTAGTTCTTAAGGAGTTGACTGGTAGAAATTTTGCTCATCCAAGAAACCCATTCTGGAATATTCATTATGACAGAAATTACAATATATAGTAACCTCTCAGCTGATACGGTAGGAAAATGGTATATTCTGACTATTAGGTTTTCCATTTAATAATGTCAATCCTGCTTACACTTGTAGTTGCTGAAGAATTTCATGACAAAAAAAAAGATTTTAAGCAATAATTGTTTAGTAGTTCAGAAGATGGAAACATTTCTACAAATTTAACCTCCTCATTCTTAATCTTCCCACTTTTAAGCAATGAGTTAGCTTTTTTTTTTTTTTCACTTCAATAAGGGGGATGTGGGGGAATAACATTTCCCAATGACTTGTTTTTGCAACTTAAAGGTAGTATTTCTATAAATTTATATTTTAAATTCTGGCAATGTTCTCTATTAGCAGTAGTTTTGGTCTTTTAGTATTATTGTTGTAATAGCTAGAATTAATATCAAGTTTAGAAAGCCTCTGGTTCTCTGGATAGTATACATGAATTTAAGGAAAATATTCCATCTTCTGAGAAATTTCCAATTAACAAAAATTGACTTCTTCTTGGTCAAAGTATAACAAATTCATTACATATTTTAAAACAAAACTATCGGGGTTAATAAATAGGCTAGATATATACCAAATAGTGTGTTTATAAATAATTTGTGATTTCAACAGTATGCAAATTTCTAAACTGTTGGGGAAAAATTTTATTTCTCTTGACACTTTGTAGCAAAGTTGATCTCTTGACACTATCTGTTCTTTCTTCTTTTTCTTTTCTTTTGGTTTTTTTGGGCAATTGGGGTTAAGAGACCTGCCCAGGGTCACACTGCTAGTAAGTGTCAAGTGTTTGGTCTGAGGCCAGATTTGAACTCAGGTCCTCCTGACTTCAGGGCCAGTGCGCTATCTACTGTGCCACCTAGTTGCCCCCTTTCATCTTTTTCTTATCAACAACAGCTTACATACATGCTACTATCTTCTCCCACTGTCATATGTAAACTGGAAATTGTATTACACCAGATCAAAATTGGATATGTTTTTAAATTTGTAAAATAGGGTTTCCCTGCATTCCAAGTCCTATTATGTTGTTTTATTTAATTCAAACTCAGTTTGTACCAGAATTATATTCAAAGTTTTTTCAGCATACTAGAGCTACACTCAGGGAAATGTACATTTGTCAAAATGTTTGCCACTGTCTCAGAGCATGTCCTGTGTGAAGTCCAAACATAAGAGGGATCACTTATAGATGCTAATGTCTTTCAGATGTTATTGTTTATGAATGAAATTGTACTGACTACATCAAGCCCCAGATTATTACAGAAATGAATGTTTCTTCCTTTAAATTCCTTATTACTCAAGAAAGAACAGCCTAATAATCCATAAATGATTATTTTAAATAATTAAAATATTAAAGATTAAAATTAAAATAAAATTTTAAAGATTAAAGAATGCCTATGATCGTACCTATAATGGATTTGGATGGT